CCTGAGGAGAGCATTGAATCTAGAGACCATATACTCTGATTTCTTCTGCTGATTTTCATGCCGTTTCTTTCCAATATGCACCTCCATGTCTCTCTGCATCTTCCTTCACTTCCTCTTTCCTCTCCCCCCACGAGCACTACGTCACCTGCAAAAGGCATGTGCCAGGGGCCACTCTCTGGCTGCTTTCTGTCAATGCCTCCAGCACCGATGTGAACAAAAAGGGGCTTAGTCCCAAGCCTTGATGTATTCCAGCTGTTACTAGAAACTGTTCCCTTTCTCCACATGAACCTCGCGCTGTGGCAACAGCACCATCGTACATGTCCTGGACACGTCTCATATAAAAGCTTTATTCACTCAATGAGGGGTGTCAGGATCAGGCCCCTGCATAAGGCAAACACCAATGTCGGTCGCCCTTCAGCGCCTGCAGAACTCACCCTCTGCCCTGGGTCTCTCTGCAGGGAAAGCGGAGCGGTGGAAGCAGCAGTTTTTGCTCTTTCTTTAATTTGACCTTAAAGATTTTGATATCCACATGCGGAGACGGGAGTGCGGCGTTATCACTGGAGCTGAGAGGCTCCATCCCTTGAATGTGCCCTGCAGACTAGTGCCCCTGTGTGTGCCCCAGAGCCCTGTGTGCTGCTGTGTTGGGTTAGGAGTCTCACTGAGCAGGAGGGAGCCATGTAGATACTCATCAGAAAAAGATCTGTGCCCTCCACTGCTGTGGGGAGCGGGGGTGCACCCTCTAGTGGTGTTTGTCTGTGTCTGCGCTCACATATTCTGTAGTGGTGTCAGTGCACATTTGTGTTTGTCCACCCACATGCGTCCTCTAGTGTTCAGAACTGTTGTTGTTCATCAGAGGTGCTATACTGCCAGGGGCGGGTCTATGTATTTTCCTTGACTGCCGCCCTCACGGCAACCGGCACGCCGCCCCCCGTGGCTTGTCGCCCCAGGCACGCGCTGGCTGCGCTGGTGCCTGGAGCCGCCCCTGTATACTGCTAACAGTTAATGGGGATTCTCCTTCATCTCATCTGTCAGTGACGTGAGTTTTTCAGGCAGCAGGATCTGGGCTCTGTCCCTGCCCTGCCAGACATTTCTGAGCAGCTGCCGGATGCAGCATAGAGACAGCCTAGGAAGCCGTGGGCTTGTGACAATGTTGTTCCCTGGCATCTGTAATGGAGGGATGGGGGAGCGGGAGCGAAGATGGAAGGACAAAGGGTTCTAGTCCCAGTTGGCTTCAGGTCCCAGTGGGGCCCTGAGTCAGCCTCAGTGGACCCCCTTTGTAAAGGGCTCCCCCTCGGAGAGCACTGCAGCCCCTGAACTGGGAGAGGCTGTGATGCCTGATGCCCCCTGGGAACACACGGGACTTGGCACCTAAACCCCCGGACTCCTCACTCCCAGGGCTTTTCCTTTCCTGTGCCCAGGAAGCGACTCTCAGTTTCAACATCATCACCTACGTGGGACTGACCCTCTCCCTGCTGTGCCTCTTCCTCGCCATCCTCACCTTCCTCCTGTGCCGCTCCATCCGCAGCATCAGCACCTCCCTCCACCTGCAGCTCTGCCTCTGCCTCTTCCTGGCCGACCTGCTCTTCCTCACCACGGTGACTCCCACCGTCAGTCCGGTACGGCCTGATTCTCCCCTGCTCTGTTCCTCCACTCGCAGCAGGGCTGGGGTGTGTGGCTTTGAACCCCTTTGTGCTCCCTGGATTCTGGGCTGTGCAGGACACAGCAGGGATTTCTGGGGGGATGTTTCCACTACCCATTAGGCCCCTTCACGTTGGGAACAGTGCTCTGAGTGTCCCCAACCCCTGGAGTTCAGCCAGTTCTGTCTCTATGTCACAGTCTCCCTGTGCCTCGAATCCTCTCCTATGTGACTTCCCCGTGGTCACCCAGGGACTCTGTGGTAGGGCTGGGAACAGAACCTACATCCCCTGAGCCCTGCTCCCCTGCTCTAACCACTAATCTCTGCTCCCTTCCTGCATCAGCAATGTGCACCTGCAGGACCCTCCATAGACCGAGGAACCTGCCGTCTCTGGGTCACAGAGCGCTATAACTGGAGAGCTGTGCTAACAAGAATCCCGGTGTGACCCCCCGGCAGGTCTCCCCCATACTCAGCATTTCCGTTCCCCACCGCAGTGTCCCTGGGCTCTCTGTCTCCCCCAGGTGGCGTGTGCTGTCATTGCTGGCCTCCTACACTACCTCTTCCTGGCCTCCTTCAGCTGGATGTTCCTGGAGGGCTGCACCTCTTCCTCACCGTCAGGAACCTGAAGGTCGTGAATTACACCAGCGCCAGCCGGTTCAAGAAGAGATTCATGTACCCGTTCGGCTACGGATTCCCAGCCCTGGTGGTGGCTATTTCTGCAGCGGTGAATCCTGACGGCTACGGAACTTCCAAACAGTACGTGCAGCGCCCATCCCGAAGGGGAGCTGGGATGTGGCTTCCATGCGCTTGTCCGGCCTAGCCCATGCTTTGCCTTGCCCCAAGTTTCCCCGCTTGCCCTCCCT